TGCTTGCATCATGCCAGAATGGATGTTGATTTTGAGCAAGGGGAGTAGGCGACCAATTCTTGCTTTGACATACTGTTGGCCATTTTGATCGAGTCGGTCCCACCATGCCAGAAGCTCTTTTTTAGGAGTAGGGATGAATTGGACATCAGCTCTTCCTATCGTATGTAGAATGCAATCAACGGGTGGCCTAACATTAACAAATCAAATGAATAAGTAGGCTGAATAATAAAATGAGAAGGGACAGAATATATACCTTTCCTTGAACCATGGCAATCACAATGACATGCACATGAGGAGCGAGGTTCGATTTCTATCTAGACTGGCTCAGCAAAATGAAGTTAAAAGGGTGCTTGTCCGTCGCAGTCTCGCGTTGGTGTCAAGTCCTTTTAACCTCGGCCAAATCGAAAGGAATATCTTATAGTCACGCGAATAGTGGCTAAAGATATTTCTTTACAATTTTTCAGAAATAAATTTCGGGGAAAAGAAAGGCAACCTCTACATCGCGGGCTCGCGTTCGAGGTCGTATCTTTCTTAACACCATCCTAAAATGCCCTATTGCGGCCCAGATCCGACAGCGTGGTTGTGTGTGCAATAATGTAGTGCTAAATCATTAGAGCATGCACAACAATTTATAAACAATCAATTCGCACCTGCAAGAACAAATAATACCTTAATGTCAGGATCATACCCGGAGTCTTTACTGCCAAACAAAAATCATTTTGAACAGGATAAAATATTTTGGCCTAAGTCCACTTAAAAAAATGCAAGTCACCAGCGGAGTCGCCAGTCTGTCGCGACAGACATCTCCCCGCTTTTTATCGGCAACATGCAAAAAAGGGGGTTTCGCCTGGTACGTGCTAAGTCTAGGTTCAGGACTTAACTCGGACTCTCCCAAGCCCATACCATATCGCAACTTAGGGTTTAAGTTTTTTAACATGCAAGTGGTTTATATCAAGGAGTCGCCACTAATCGATTTGGGGTGGGTCGATTAGAAACCCAAATAAGGTGATGGGAGAATCACCCTATTCCTACGAACTAGAGATTAAATGAGTTCGGGGACTTGGTTACACTAGTTGGATAACTAATGCCCTTTCGGTACCATTTTACCCTGTGCATTTCTGAAAATATTTGTTAGGCAATTTGGATTGATTTTAGGACCTTTCTCCTAACATGTGGGGTGATCAAGCGAGTGCATAATCATAGACGATCAGCAGTCAAGATAAATATGCAGCCTTAGGTTCTAATCTTAACTAAGTCAGATGACATTCAAAACACAACAACTCATGCAATTGTATTAAAACATGCATAATAAAAATAACATGCAAAATACTACCGCACAACCTCAGGCTTGTCTAATTTAAACAAGAAAAAAACATGCATAATAATACCACAATAAAATAAAACAACAAATATATCACATACTAAAAAAAAAAATTTCTTACAAAAAAAATAATAATAAATAAATAAATACGAAAAAGAAAAGAAAAATATTTTTTTTAAATTTAAAAAAAATACGGAAGAAAAAGAAAAAGAAAAAGAAAAAAATATTATTTATTATTTTTTTAAAATTTTTTTAAAAAAAAATAAAATAAAATAAAAACCGGGTTGGTTGGATACGAGTCGGGTCGGATCCGACCCGGGTCAACGGATCTGACCCGGGTCAACGGACCCGACCCAGGGCGTTGACCTGGGTTGGGTCGGTTGATTCGGGTTGGGTCACCCCCGTGTGTACAAACACGAGGGGACGCCGGCGGAGCCAAAATTGGCCTTCCGCCGACCGACCCAGGCCGCCGCCGACCGAGAACCGACTCCTGGAGAACATCACCAAGTCCCGCCGCCCACCTGGGTCGCCGTCCAATCGTCGCTCGCCGGCCGGCGACCGAATTAAAAAACGGCATCTTTGAGGCATTTTGTCGAGTAGATGGCGTGCGTGACCAAAATAAACGGTTTTCGACCTACCTCGGGGATCCGGCACACTCCGGCGACCTACCTTACTTTCGACGGCGATACACAGACCATAGGGGACGACGGTATGGGCCGAGATTCGTGCGAAACGGCCGGCACGAGTCCCGGTCAAACCGGGCATAGAAACAGGGGCGAACAGGGGACCCGACGGGCTCACCGGTCGGCGGCGATTCTGGCGAGTCTCCGGCTGATCTGCGGGCGACGGCGCGACTACAGGGACCTGCAAACGCTCAAATCTCCTCTCTTTCTCTCTTTTTTCTCTCTGTTTTCTCTCGGTTTCTCTCGGACTCTCTCTCTGTTTCTCTCTATCTCTGTTTTTGCTTCAAATGGCCGACCCTCTCTCTCTCTCTCTCTCTCTCTCTCTCTCTCTCTCTCTCTCTCTCTTTCTCTCTGGTTTTTATAGCCGGACGACGGAGCGTCTTTGCTCCGTCACGTCGGCATGACGACGGCCTGCACCTGCCTACTTTGGCCAGCGACTTTCGTGGCCACTTAGGCCGGTGCAGAGCAGGGGGGAGCTGGTCTGAGACGGGCAGAGAGGAACATGGAGCTGAGAGGGAAGAGGAGATAAGGGAAGCCGGGAAAACGGGGAGGACGGGACTGGCCATTAATGCCAGTCCCGTCGGCGTGCTCATCCGGCCCTGCTCTGGCCGGATAGCGACGGTGAGGAGCGGCGCCGCCGTGCGTCACGCTGCCGTCGCGAACGAACAGGGGAAAAGAAAGCGACCGGCGCGGAGGGAGAGAAAGGAAAAAAGAAAAAGCGGGCTGGGCCCGCGGGGGGGGGGGGAAAGAAAAGAAAAAGAAAGAAGAGTGGGTCGGGGTCCATGCGGGAAAAAGAAAGATAAAAGAAAAAGGGCCGGGTCGGCCGGGCCGACCCGACCCAACTCGAATTTTTTTGATTTTTTTAATATTTATTTTTGATTTTTTTAAACTCTAATAGGCTCTATTAATACAAATGTGCCTAAATTCTATATGCAATGTATTTAAATAGAAATATTTTTTGTTTTAGGAATTAAAGAAAATTAACTCTTAAATTTTGTGTAATTAATTCTTGGGCCAATTAAAATAGGTGTCAACACTTCCTTTGATAGTTCATATCCTTGATTGATTATATTTGAAATTATATTTATCTTAAATAGTTATCTAGTAAAACCTATAAATAGGCTTGTGTACTATTTATCAATATATTGAAATTCCTCTCTTCTGCGTATTATTATTATTCTTAACTGTTGTATTTCTAATTATTTTATACGGTGAAATAGCTGAGTGAAGAATTCAAAGATTTGATCACACGTAATCTTCATCTATTGGTACATTACAAATCGCACTCTTTGAAGATTATGTTTGGAAGGTATCTAGAGGAAGTCAAGATTAATCCTGATAATTTATAGTTTGTGAATTCTTCTCCTTGTATCACGAGAATTGATACTTTTAGTACAAGAATGAGTCAAGGGGTTCAAAGATTTAGGCTCCGTTCGTTTGCCGGAAAATATTCTCCTTTTGGAAAATATTTTCCCGGAAGTCATTTTCCTGAAAAATGTTTTCCTGGAACACAATTTTCTGGTGTTCGGCGACCGCCGATCCGGCGGCGTCCGGCGCGGCGGCGATCGGCGATCGGCGGCGGTCGCCCGAGGTCGGCGGCGGCGGCCGGCGACCGCGGCGACGGCGGCGCAGCGGCGGCCAGCGACCGGCAGCGGCGGCGGGCGGCGCGGTCGGGGCGGCGGCCGGCGGCGGTGGCGGCCGGCGACGGCGGCGGCGGCCGGCGGCGGTGACCGGCGATCCACTTCCTCTCCCACGGAAAACATTTTCCCTCCCATGGGCAATTTTGCCTTCACTTTGGGGGAAAATGATTTCCTCTTTGTGAAAAGAGGAAAATCATTTTCCTCAAAACAATTAAGGATTTGGGGGTGGGGAAGGAAAATGTTTTCCCACGGAAAACATTTTCCGCCCCCGAACACCGGAAAATGCGGAAAATGTTTTCCAGAAAAATATTTTTCCGGAAACGAACACAGCCTTATATAAACTTGACATAGTGTGGATCATGATGAAATATATCTACTCGAAGTCTTGAACCATAAATACACAACTCAAATCTGCATCAATACTAGCAAGAATCATTTCCATAGATCTCAAGCTTTGCGTGCATAGGATGAAGTCACCACTAAGCAAATTCTACAATATACATCACTGACCACCACCACTTCATCCATGATCTTCACTTCTTGACCAATTCCCCCATTGAAGATCTTCACTTCTTTGGGAGCCGGCGACCATGGAGACCATAAGAAAGGCCATAAGGGAACTTTGCTCTGGTAATCTCCTCAAAAGTGGAGCCATCAAGCAGCAATGCACACCCACCTCCAATTTTTCTCACTAATCATTGATATCACCACACCTGCAAGTGCAACCCCAGAACACAATTCTTCACAAAAGAGAATTGAGAAATTCTTTTTATGGAAAGTTTTCAAAATAGGAGAGTCAACTACAACTTGAGGTATGACAAAAACAAAACTACAATGTGAGGCACTAGAAAGGTAATTCTACAAGAAAAATCATTTTCCATAATTGTGGGGAGACAGAATGTTATACATGTGTTAACCAGACATTTCGAGCAAGAGATATTCATGTCACCTCTCACTTCAAATGATACAAAGATATTTTGAATGTTTTGTCCTCAAATAAGGCATAATGAGCATATGTTGCGATTTTAATTTTCTAAATTCTTACCGTCATCTTCCTCGGTCGCCCCTGGCCTAGCAACGAAGAATGGTTCCGAGGGCACAACGCCATCTTCGTGCCAATTCTTTGCCTTCTTCTCCACTAGATCGACTTGCCAAAACCTCTCACTTCATCAACTTCTCATCAAGAAAATCACTTGAAATCAACTTCTTCTTGCAAGTAAATAATGCAACAACCATACTCCCTAGCACTGGCACCACATCCCTATAATGCTATAAAAGCATGAATTTGAGGGACAAGAATATAAACCTTGGTGAGGGTGGGGGGGGGGGAGGAGAGGAATTGCAAGGGCGTTGAGCTCCACAAGCATAGACAAATCTGTATTTTTTGCCCAAGAAGGCATTGTTGATCTTGCAAACGTCGATGCCTCTCCCATGTTCATTTGGGTCCAATGCTGTCTCCAACTTCCCATATGGACTCCCATCTAATGGTATCGTGAACCTTCCAACCCTGCCCAAATTTACCAACATCACCATCACCACCATCATCAAGGCTTACTTGAAAAGGAAAGTAAATATACTGATTCTGCAAATTGGCCTTTAGTGTGCCTCTCTTCCTTTGTTAATTAGGTGGGATTTTGCAAATCGGGAGTTCAAAAAAAGACCACTTCCATTGTTGATCTTGCAAACGTCGATGCCTCTCCCATGTTCATTTGGGTCCAATGCTGTCTCCAACTTCCCATATGGACTCCCATCTAATGGTATCGTGAACCTTCCAACCCTGCCCAAATTTACCAACATCACCATCACCACCATCATCAAGGCTTACTTGAAAAGGAAAGTAAATATACTGATTCTGCAAATTGGCCTTTAGTGTGCCTCTCTTCCTTTGTTAATTAGGTGGGATTTTGCAAATCGGGAGTTCAAAAAAAGACCACTTGGTTTCTGCTAGAGAATGACTTTGAAGGTGATGGTGCAATTTGAAATTTTTGTCTGATTGTGAGCGATGATTCTAGGCTCTTTATTGCATCGGGCAGGCTTCTACCATCATTGTGAGGGATACAGTCACCAATTTTTGCAAATTTAATGTTTAGTTCAACTTAAAAATACTCGTTACTTTCCCTTCAAAACTTTGAAAGAAAAAATAATAAACATTAAGTTTAATTTCTATAGTTATGAAATAACTACACATATGATTCTGCATTTTAATATTTGTTTCTTTTGCAAAATATTTCAAGTGATTAAATAAAAGTCAAACATAATGTGCTACAAATAAAGAAAGAAAAAAGTAAATTTGGTACCAAACACAAAAGGGCCATTAATGAAACTCGTCATATAGAAACGAGATATATATTAAAGAAAACGGGGTTCCTTCTTTTAAAGAACTACTATATTATTTTCTTATGCATTGAAAACGTATTGTGTGTGCGTGAACAAGTATTATGAAGATAAAAAATTTGGCCTGAAATATCCAAATAATCACATATTTGATCTACCACTAATTTCCTTACATCTGCTCGCAGCTTCGATTTTCCTTCTATGTATTTAATATTTTCATTCTTTACAAGATTATCCTTATCTCAAAAAATTGACCGAAGATAAATATAAGCGCAATTTTAGGCGTGCGTGGACTCTAAAGTGGTGTACGAAAAACACACCTAGCATTGGGAAGTACTTCTTGCCCGGCAAAGGAGTGAAAGTTTTGGAGCCTGAGTTTCTCGAGGATGGTTCTGTCCGCGTTATGCTCGCAACAATCGGCGATCACGGCCACGACTCGCCCATCTTCGTCCGTCTCTTCGTATGCATTGATGAAGTGAAACGTCACGTACAAAGGAACCTCCACACTTGCCACCTTTTTCATGCAAGAGAAGAAAGATAAAAAATTCTTGTAATATTCATTTTTTATATACAAAAAGGGCATGTCTGGACCGTAAAATTAGTAAAAACGCATATCAATGATAATTAGAAAAGAACATACTTCGAGAAAGTTACATATTTCGAATAGAAATATGCATATTTTCGAAAGCACGGACAATGATTCTAAGTTATTGCCTCTACGGCACTCTTCAACATTGTGTTGCACGAAATGAATTTTGAGAGATATAGGAAACTTACGATTTTGCCACTGGCTTTACACATAACTTGCACGCACCCTTTGGATTCTGGGTGCCACTCGAACGCGTACAACGGACTGGGCTCGGCCTTGGGGATGCTTTTGACGTTGTACCTCAAGGGCATCTCCGGCACGACGATGTAGTGCTCGGTGATGGCAAACGAGTGGACCCAACCGGGTGTGGGGCCGCCCCGGCACTCCACCCTTCCGATCACCTTCCGCTCATTCGATCCCCGCTCCATCCTCACTACAGTGTACCCCGGGTTGATCAGGTCGGGCAACACCGCCAGAAATTCGGTATCAGTCGCGATCGGATGAGCGGATTGTAACAGATCCCCCACGGAGTCGGTGTACTCGAACTTCCCTAAGGTCTCAAGTGTGGTTGGGTCGATCATTATCGACCCCTTTTGCGTCTCGGTTAGACAACTCACTTGTCCATCTCCAAGCTTGATGATTCCTGTATTGACATTATCAGTCAGTGACGCCCCAGAAATCAAGCCAGCAAGTTCGCCAATGTAGGATAGGAAATTGTCTGCCTTAGGGAACTCGGAGAATTCTTGGTAGATTAGCTTATTATGCTTCATTGCGGCCTTGTATGCTTCGGATTCGATCTGGCGGTGGCCTGCGATTAATCTTCCGTTCTCGAACTGCAGCTTTACCACCATGGCGTAGCCATCAAAGAGGTGGCCGAAGTTGTAGTCTCCGACATGCCATAGACCGGGACCATTCCTTAGATAAATTCCGTTCTACATATGATTAAATCAACTAATCAGATTCTCTAATCAATAGAAAACACCGGAGCTACTAATTCCAATGCATTTGTCATGTACAATAAGTATACATGAGACTGTAGTGTTAATGATATTATACTCTGAATTGTTGGGGTGTGATTCATACTCTCCAGCGACTAAACAACACAGTGAGCGGGCAGGGGTCCGAGGGGGCCGCCCCGGCGAGGGTTGTAGGGGCAGCGCCCCCGAGCCGCTGGGGCAACACCCTCGAGCCGTTAGAGGGTTTTTATTATTTGAGCCCAAAAGTTTCCTATTTTGAATAGATTTCCTAATTGAATGATTTCATAATTGGAGTAGGTTTCTTAGAAAGAGGTTTCTTATTTTGAATCAAACTATTGCCTATTATATTATCTTTCTCTTGTAATCGAGAGATGTAACAGTGATGTGCGATGTGCTAATTATAGTGGAATCTTGAGCTGAACGTAGCCCTAATTTAAGGGTGAACCAGCATAAAATATCGCGTCTCAAATTCTCTTTCTCGCTTTTACTCTATATTTTTTTCGTGATTGTGTGACGAATCCTAACACGAACAATGTATAAAAAACCTTTAAACGTTGTATTTATAATTATTTTATATGGTGGAATAGCTGAAAAGAATTTTCAAAGATGTAAGATCACACGTAATCTTCATCTATTGGTACATTACAAATCGCACTCTTTGAACATTATGTTTGGAAGGTATCTAGAGGAAGTCAAGATAAATCCCGATAATTTACAGTTTGTGACTTCTTCTTTTTCTCTTTTTTGTGCTAGGTAAGTCGGCGACTTCTATTCGAAAATGGAAAAATTTCTCCAGAAATAGTGTTATTCATTTAAGTAAAAGGAAAATCATTTCATATGTGGAAGTAAATTCAAAAAATAGAACGTCATGATGTAAACACTATTTATGGAGATCTTTCACAGGCAGTGCTGACACAACAAAGTTCCTTAATCTTCTATGTCTAGCGTAATCGATTAATAAGATTTACAATTAACATAATTTGGTTAGTGCAACATGAAAAGAAAATAACATTTATACATTTACGTCAAAGGGATATCGTTTCAAATGTGGAAGTAAATTTGAAAATTAGAATGCCTAATCTAAATGCTCTTTATGGAGCTTTTTTTTTGGGCAGTGCGAACACAAAAAAAAGTTCCTTAATCTTTAGCGTCTAGCATAATTTACTAATAAGATGTACAATTAACGCAAATCAACCGGGGGTACTATATTGCCTTGCGGGTTGATTCGCATTAGCGGTTGTACAGTAGGAGTTTGACCTCCTTTTCGTCATCCCAGGTGCGGGAGGCTACTATACCTGTCTACCCGGAAATAGCCGGCCGAAACCGACGTGGAGTTTACCTTCCCTACCCGGAAGCCCCCATGTTCCCTCCATATATTTTTCTTCCTTGGAGAGAGGGAATACGGAGGAGTTTGTGAGAGATCACTCCAGTTGAAATGAGAAGTCACAAACTTCCCACCTCCACTGAGGTGTTCCCTCCCTTTATCCCCCTTGAGCCTTTCAAGGTCCTGTTCAGAGACCTATGATCTAAACACTATTTATGGAGATCTATCATAGGCAGTGCCGACACAACAAAGTTCCTTAATCTTTGATGTCTAGCATAATCGATTAATAAGATGTACAATTAACATAATTTGGTTAGTGCAACATTGTTGACACCTATTTTTAATTTGCCCAAAATTAATTGCACAAAATTTAGGAGTTAATTTTCTTTAATTCCTAAAACAAAAATATTTCAATTTAAATGCATTGCATATAGAAATTAGGCACATTTTGCATTAATAGGGTCTATTAGAGAAGATTAATTAAAAAAAAAAAAAATTTCGAGTCGGGCCGGGTCGGGCTGACTCGGCCCTTTTCTTCTTTTTGTTTTTTCTTCTTTTCCTCCCCGCGGGCCCAGCCCGCTTCTTTCTTCTTCCTTTTCTTCCGCCCGCGCGGCTGGGCCTAACCTGGCCGGGCCCCTTCTTCTTCCTTCTCCCCCCGTCGCTCTCCTTCCCCTGTTCGCCTCTGTTCGCGACGTCACGCCGACGCACGGCGGCGCCGCTCCTCGCCGTCGCTATCTGGCCAGAGGAAGGCCGAGAGAGCACGCCGACGGGATTGTCATTAATTTCCAGTCCCGTCCTTTCTGTTTTCCCGGCCTCTCTCTCCCCCCTGTTTGCCTCTGTTGCCTCGCTGAACCGGACCCCCCTGCTCTGCTCTGCACCGGCCTGCCATGGCCACGAAAGTCGTGGGGTGGCGTAGGCCGGTGCAGGCCATCGTCATTGCCGATGCAACGGAGCCGGGGGACGCCGCCTATAAAAGCCGAAGAGAGAGAGAGAGAGAGGCCCCGATCGGCCGTTTTGAGATATAGAGAGAAAAACAGAGAAAGGGCGAGACGGAGCGAAACAGAAGAAACTGAGAGCTCTTCCGGCGGCCACCGCGCCTCAGCCATCCATCCCCGCCGCCGAGCCGACGGCGGCGATACAGAGCGAGAGAGAGAGAGAGAGAGAGCCCCCGGTCGGCGAAACAGTGAGAGAGAGAACAGAGAGAGAGTGAGAATATAGAGAGAGAGAGAAAGAGCAAACCGAGTGTTCGTTGGAGCAAGAAGGAGAACCAGCAGCGTCGCCGTCGCCCACGGAGCAGCCGGAAGGACACCCAGACGCGCCGTCGACCGGTGAGCCCCCGGCCGAGAAGCCCCTCTGTTTTCCCCTGTTTTTTAGCGTGGTTAGGCCGGGACTTGCGCCGGCCGTTTCGCGCGAATCTCGGCCCATACTGATAACTCTATAAAAATAGAGTTATTTTATCTACTCTAGGTAATAAATAATGCAATATTTGTTAGAATATATTTGGATTTCCTTTTATTTACTTAATTTTTCCTTGTTTATGCAGAATATTGAGATATGGAGAAAATAAGGAAAATATGGCAAAAAGAAGGAAAGGAATATGCAACCCAGAGAAGAGTTAGAAGGTGGATATCACATTGGGAATTCTGCGATTTATTCCCTAATTTTATACGAAAAAGAAGCAATTGCCTTGTGAGAGGAGTCTTGGATGTTATCATATAAATATGATAACTTGGGGGAACATGGAGTTTTTTTAGATCGTTTTTGTTTTCAGTGTTCTGAGAGTTTTTCAAGTATTTTGAAGAGAAGACAAAAGTGGTGACAGAATTCTTGTTCTTTGATTCAAGATGTTTGGTTTAATTTCTATTGTCGTTTCTTCTTCTATTATGTTCTAATTTTCTTTGTTAGAGCTACGATGTAGCCTAACCATGATGATATGAATTTCATGCTTTTTATGCTTTGCAAGTAATTTCATTCATGTGAGTTATATATTATTGTGCTTAATGCGTTTAGGTGACTGGCCACCACTTGAATGATCCGATGTGCATGTTTGAGACTGAAAAGTAATAATATGCAATTGCCCCTTATAATATATAACCATGAATTAAATGTGGATAGAAATATACCATGTTATTTGTGTAGCTTTCGGTGATAAGGTGGTCTAAAAGATTCATTGTAAACCGGGAATATTCACAGATTTTAATGCGCTTATGTTTATTTAAATTCACATAGAAATATAGTGAATTGATAAACTGAGTAGGTTTGCTATACCTAGAGATAGGATAGTAAATAGACTAGGAAATTCCGCTATCACATGTTTGATATTGTTCTTGTATGCATAATGATCCGAAATTCATATCTAGTGGTTATGGTGAAATCGGATGCTCTAACATATTTTACGATTGATTATCGCCTTTAGTTTATAAAATTTCGTTTTTAAAAATTGTCAATTTTTATTTGTTCTCAATTATATTTTGATCAGTTAGATAAATTTTAGAATTAGTCCATTTTTAATATTTAATTGGTTTATTATCATCAATCTCTGTGGGACGATACTCTTCTCATCATTATATTACTTGTTCAACATGTTCGTTGACACGTGCAGAATTTTACGAACACATACCGTCGTCGGTCCGGATCCCTAGTCGCCGTCGAAGGTGAACCCAAGCCGCCGGAGTCGACCGGATCGCCGGAGGAGGTCGGAATCCCTCGTTTTTCCACGCACCCGCCAGGCGTTCGACGAAATGCCTCAACCAGGCTGGTTTTTGTTTCATCGCCGGCCGGCGAATGATGGTCCGACGGTGGCTCAGGTGAGTGGCACAGCCCACAGGCGGTCCTAGTCGGGCGATTTGGGGGCGGCGCTGGCCTGGGTCAGCCGGCGGACGGCCAATTTTGGCCTCTCCGGCGCCCCCCTCCCCGCGGGTCTGTATGTTCGGGTCGGATTCGACCCGAATCAACAGATCCGACCCGGGTCAACGCACGGGTCGGATCCGTTGACTCGGGTCGACTCCGACCGACCTGGATTAACAGATCCGACCCGGGTCAACGCCCGGGTCGGATCGGTTAACCAGGGTCGGTTCCGACCCGATCCGGCGCCCGGGTCGGATCTGTTGACCCGGGTCGGTTCCGACCCGATCCGGATTGACCGATCTGACCCGGGTCGGTTCCGACCCGGTCTGGATCCGCGACCCAACCCGTTTTCATTATTTATTATTATTTATTAAATTTTTTTTATTAAACAAAATTTTAAAAAAAATTTTTAGAAATTTTTTTTCCGTATTATTATTATTATTATTTTTCCTTAAAAAAATCAAAAAAAATAATAATAAAATATTTTAAAAAAAATTTGTGTGATATATTCTAAAATTTTAATTTATTGTAGTATTATTATGCATATTTTTGTCTTGTTTAAATTAGACAAGCCTGAGATTGCGCGGTAATATTTCGCATGTTATTTTTATTACCGTTGTATTGTTATGCATGTTTTTAATATAATTGCATGAGCTGTTGTGTTTTTGAATGTCATCTGACTTAGTTAAGATTAGAACCTTAGGCTTCATGAATTGTTGTGTTCCTCACTGCTAATCATTTCTGATTATGCACTCGCTTGATCACCTCACATGTTAGGAGAAAG